CATTATAGTTCTGTCCCTGTGTAGCTTGGATATATGGATTTTCAAAGGAGGGAATTACTGTAAATCTGTCTCCTGTTTGATATAAGATTTATTTATTTAAAGGTAGGCATCAGGGGCTGGGGTTGTGGCTCAGTGGCAGAGCGCTTGTCTAGCACACATGAGGCCCTGGGTTCAATCCTCAGCACTACATAAAAATGAAATGGAGATATTGTGTCCACCTACAACTAAAAAATAAATATTAAAAAAAAATAAAAATTGCCCTTAAAAAATAAATAAATAAAAGTGGGCATCAGAGGCTTGGGTTGTGGCTCAGTGGTAGAGCGCTTGCCTAGCATGCTTCAGGCACTGGGTTCGATTCTTAGCACCATATACAAATAAATAAAATAAAGGTCCATGAACAACTAAAAAATATTAAAAAAAAAAAAAGTGGGCATCTGATTTTGCAAAGCATTGGTATGTATTATGTTCTCAAGGGTCCCTAATTTAGAAGTCAGTCACAAAAATAATAGTATCCAAGTGACAAAAACATGGTCTTCTCAAGAAAGTGCTACCAAGTAGTGGCACTGTGAGTACCTAGTATCTTGGCATAGTTACTCACTCTAGGGAGAATGCTGGACACTGCAGTCTCTTTGTCCTTGGGGTGCCAGGGTTGTTTCTCTAATAGCATGTGGTGTGGAAATGGTTGAGTCTAATGCAGGAGCAAGATGTTCGTTCCTCTCAGTATGGGGTGGGTAATGGTGTCCAGCCATAATAGTCTAAGAGAATTCCCTTGTGATTTGTAAAATTCTTGGTCAAGACATTCATGTTTGGAATTGTTCACAGGGAAGTTTTTAGCAGACAACATCGTAGGATCTGTCCTGGTTTTCTCCTTGATATTTTGGATTCCTTTCAGCATTCTTGTTCATTGTGTGGTAAGTCACCAATTTTTAAGTAACCAAGCATTTTATTAAAATGTTGAGCAATTCCATGTAACATGTAACTTTTGGAAAAGAAAACTTGTTCTTAGCAAAGTCTGTCCTGATGTTTCTAATGACATTTTTGATGTTTTCTTAGGAGAGCCTGTCATATAGACATCTTAGCTGATGGTCTTTTTTCTTATTTTGTTTGGGTGTTTTACTTTCATAAGTAATTTCTTAGGTATTTTACACTTTTACATGCAGACTCATTTAATTGGATTTGCCTGGGACCTTTGAGCAAAGCTTTTTATACAGGAGCATTTTCAGGTTAGCGTGTTATTAACACTAAAAATCAAACGTCAGCATTTCAAAGCTGTTCCTCACATAGTATCCATATAGGTTCCTAGCATTGTATAGGGTATTTACATCTTTCCAACTAAGTAAGAAGGAGCATTCTTTCCTCTTCTTGCTCAAAATGAGTTAACAGTTATAAGTTAATTTGGGCTTTGCTTAAGGAATTCCAGGTACTTTATAAATTTGAGCCTTTTTTCAAACTTTTCTTTACAAACCCATTTACCTTGCATCTATGGGGAATGGGGGCTGTGTGCTATAGAGATGAGGAAGTCAGACTCAGACTTCCAGACTTATTCTGACTCACGCTCACTCTGCTCCTGTGAGCTAGAAGAGTTATAGCATAGCTAGCTCACATGGCAAAAGTGCTTTTCATTCCTACTGGGTTCTCAGACTTAGCAGGTACCTCACTGAACAGCTCTTCCTTAGGGCGGAGAGCATGATGGTATGGTATAGGAGCAAACTCTCTGGGGAGCATTTCTGCTACAGCAGGGCTTTCTTGAGGTGATGAAGAGCTGTGTCCTTCACGATTGTTTTTACTGGAGTTAAATCTGTTTTATTTACAGTGGAAGTTGTACTAAGGACCGCACAGCTACTCTTGATTTCAGAACAGATTCTGTGACTTGTGGGTTGGTAGATGATGGCTTGTTTCTAGCCACAGAAAACCATCATGGCAGTAGATCTGAGCTGAGACCCTGATTTTTGGTGCTGCCTTGCCTTTGTCAGTCACTTGTTACGCTTCAGCCACACACAAGAACCAGGAGAGAGAGCAGATGACTTTGTATTTAGTCTTCTGCAGAAATATAAGGATTGAGGCCCAGCTCCTCCAATAATTTGGTTTCTGTGGATACAGCTGCGAAGAGTGTGAGGCTGTGGGTGCTGAGAAGGCAAGCATTGCCATCTTGGTCTCCTGCCTGCTGCCCATGCAGCTAATACTGGTGCATCAGCCTTTTGACTTTGTCCTCAAGATTCCCATGGTATCTACTCACAGGGTGAGAGTTCTCTCAGAAAAGCAGCACTTAAACTCTGCCTTTCCATGCTAATACCAATATTTATGCAGAGTAAACATTTCTAGTCTCGCTTATACAAGAAACATGTTCTCATTTAGTGCACCCTGTGACACTTTTATGCCAGGTGGAGGAATGGAACCCAGGGCTGCATGTGTGTTAGGCAAGTGCCCCACCACGGAGCCATACTCCACTCCCATGCTGCCCATTATGGTTCAGTTTCTGAGTTCCTTATTTCATCTTAGGAGGAAAGAATATGTATCCACTGAGGTGTGGGTGTGTAGGAATTGTTTTTTCTTACTATTCCTTTTTTTCTAGGATAAGAAATTGGATAAGCAATATGAATCGCTGTCTCTGTTTAACCCCAGTGTAAGTATACCACATGAAAATAAAGAATAATTTTTGGTTACATTTTGAGATCCTATTAGGCAAAGATCTTCAGTTGACACCCAGCAAGAGTCTCTACCTTTACAGCTCAGCCCTTTTGGCTAAAAGGATCTAGGTTGCATGTGAACTCTCCTGATAGCAGTGATGTACTTATTAGTTGAGTGGATAGATATTTAGAGGGGAGCCCTGGGCTCCCCTTCCCTACAGCTGTTTGGAGTGCTTTAGCTGTTCAGCACTGAGTTGTTTTCAGATCTTTTCCTGTAATAGATCTTTATAATTGAGTTCTCTTTTGGATGCCTAAATACCAAGTTGTCAGGATATCTGAAAGTTGTTCTGAACTTCTTGGGTTCAGTGAGCCTGATATCTGGCACTTTGTTTTAGCACAAAGGATCACGGTACTGGGCCATTTGATGGGTAAGGTTGGAGCTTAAGAACCTTTGATCTTTTATTCCCATCAATTAAAACCCACATCTTTCCAGAATGTTGAGATGCTAAGCAGCATGGATTCGGCCTCAGTTCGAATTATCAAGCCCTTTCCTGCACCCCAGACTCCAGGCCGCCTGCAGCCCCTACAGCCCACCCCTATGATGCCACCAGTGTCTGCTGCTCCAAAACTGGACCACCAGAGAATGGACACCATCCAAGAAGACCCCAGCACAGACTCACATATGGATGAAGATGGCTTTGAAAAGGACCCCTTCCCTAACAGTGGCACAGCTGCCAAGTCCTTTGAGGATCTCACGGACCATCCAGTCACCAGAAGTGAAAAGGCTGCTTCCTTTAAACTGCAGCGTCAGAACCGTGTGGACAGCAAAGAAACTGAGTGCTAGTGAGGGGTCATGTCCTAAGTGATTTTGACTTACATGTGCAAATATTTTTATAAATTTGGCCTAGAAGCACGGCATATATCTTGTGAAGAACTGGGAGGGATAAGGAAATGACTCAACAGCAAATGCTAGCCATGTGTTTGAGCTTCCTTCACATAAGCAGTGCTGTCTAGTTAGACCCTCTTCCTTTGAAGAGGTCAGATGAATCTGGCTTATTTTCAGACTTTCAGGTTTTAGTGTTTTTGAGCTTCAAAACAGCCTTTGACCTGGTGGTGCAAAAGCAGAAAATACAGCTGGTTTAGGTTATTGTAAATTAACCTTTATACTGATAACAGCACTGATTTAGGGAGATGATCAGTTTTTATCTTTTATATACTGTAATGACCCTATGAGGCACTTAGCAGTTATTTGAGAGGACAACTGGAACAATTTTTTTTTTCAAGTAAAGGAATGAGATAATCTATTATTGCCAAAATGTGGGTGTTTCTAGGTATTACCCAGATCTTCTCACAGCAGGGAGAAAGCTACATCTAAACTTACAAATAATTTGGGTGAATAGGGCCTTTTCTAAGGCTAGTACTTTCTAGATTAAAACAACCTAGTTTATAGTGAAGTTTACAATAGTTAAGATAGCCTGTTAATTTCTCAGGTCTCCGATTTGCTGGGTAGCTTTTCTGTGTTTTATAAGTATCTTCATATATCCCTAATATTGTTTACTATGCGTTTAAAAATTCTTTATCCACAGTACTACAAAATATGATCCAAAAAAACACAGTTGCCTATTGTTAAGTTAGTGGACAAGAGAGTAAATGAGATACTTTTAACCAAAGAACAGGTTGTTTTGAATATGCTGAGATGTGACGAGCCAGGAAAGGGAACACTGCCTGTCCTGGGGTAGGGGTCTGGCCCTACCAGACCTGATACTTCAGAAACCCTTTTTAATTACCCACAAGTTGATGGTCACATGACTTCTTGCCAAGTGCTTTAGGATTCTGGATGGTCTGTTGTTACCGTGTGAAGGATAAAAAAAAAAAAAAAAAAATCATAGCCTGAATTCTGATCTCCATAAAATTGTTTTCTCCTGTGAACTAAAATGTGCTTACCAGCCAACACATTTTAACCAAGATGACTTGTAAATTTTGAGGGCAGTTAACCAAACTTGTGACAAATCATGCTTTCTTCTTCTGTAAGGACATGTGTTACTCAAATGTTATTTGTTACACTAATACTTGAATTTGTACCTTATGGTATTTGCTATCTTTTAACTTGTCAGGATAGTCTTATATTGTAGTTCCACTTTCATAATTTGATACAAGGTGAGTGGGTGTATGTATGAGTGAAACGGTTCTCAGCAGAATGTAAGAAAACTTTTTTTTTTTTTTTTTTATAAAATTGTGACTTTTTAAAACAAAAATTGTGTTTCCTTTTTTTTTTGCCATGTATAGGATTAACAAACTGCTCAGGATGGCACTGATGATACTTGCACCAGTCAATAAACATTTATCAAAACAGAATGTGCTCAACTACAAAGCTTCCCTGAAGAATCTGAAAACTTTATAATAAACATTAGTGGCAAAAATTGGTGTTTTGGTCCAGCATAGTGAGGAAGAATTTTAAGCTTGAGAAAAAAATATTCTGCATTCAATTGCCTTGGAATCTATATGTTATAATCACCAACTTCAATCTATAAATTAACAACCAGATTTGCATTTCCTAGAATTGACTAATGGTCTCCATCTCCCAGTAGACTTAGTTCAGGTTGTGCTTCTGCTACATCCTTCCAGTAAGGAAGCAGCAAAGGCAGAGAAGAGACCTTCTTCTCTATCAGAGGCCAGAGGTGTAAAAACAAAAATTCATTTCCCTTTGGTGATAGATGTAGTCCGTCAGAGGATAAGTAGGATGAGAAGTCCTGTAAAGAGAAGGCACAGTAAAGCTGTATAGTTTTTCTCATTGCCAGTGTGTGCTTTCCTCCCAGTATGGGCCTGAGTCAGAACTCACCAGCCCTTTGTTTCGGCATTTGACCTGAATTGTCTCAGACCACAGCAGCAGTATAAATGTGAATGATATATGCTGGTGCTCTCTATATTAGACCTGAGCTTCATAAAACTCATTACCACTATGTGCCTGAGTTGGGACAGCATTATAGGCCTTCACTCTAAAGTGGTTATCAGCTGAAAGAGGCTTAATGAGTGAATGATTCTTTAATGTAAATAACAAAAATGAAAAACCTGTTATTAAGAAAGCTCAGGGTGTCTGGTTGGGGATGTAGCTTAGTAGCAGAGCACCTGCCTAGCACACTTGGGCTAGGGACTGAGTTTAGTCCCTAGTACCAGGAAAATTTAAAAAATACCTTGGGGTCCTAGTAAGTCAGTTTCATGTGACTCTTAGGCAAGATTTTCGGGGAATGACAATCCAAATGAGAACAAGAATTATTGGGCTATGACTCCTGTTTTACTGCCACTCCCCTTAATAGCCACCCTCAGAGCCATTTCTCCCTTACAGAAAACTCTTGGCCAGGCAAGGGCTCTTGCCCAATCCACTTTAGAGTTGCATGGAAAAGCTATATGGCTTTCACAGACCAAGATCATAGACTCCAGCAGTGCTTCTCCCTAAACCTCAGTATCCTCTTCTGGATGGTTGATGTTTCCTCCATTCTACGATCCTGGTGTGTTAAAATGACTCATTAGCATAACTAACCAAGTGTTTTAAAATGTCCTTTCCAGTCAGGTGCAGAGGTACACACCAGCTACTCTGGAGCTGAGACAGGAAGATCATTAAGTTTGAAGCCAATCTGGGTAATATGGGGAGACCCTGCCTCATATAAAGTAAAAAGGGCTGGGGATATAGCCCACTGGTGGAGTCCCCTGGGTTCAATCACCAGTACCCCCAAAATGTAAATAAGATGTCTTTTCCTCTGTAGCACAACTTTTTGCAACCACCACGTTGGATTCTTAGGCTAAAACAATTCTGGATGTTGACCCTTCAGCACTCAGGCAGCCAAGGCCTCTCCTAATCTGAGCACCCAGAAGACTCTCAAATAGACTCAAATGCAGTCCAGGATTAGCAGCCTGGAGGCCAGGAGGGCAGTGATGTACTCAAGTACAGGGCTGGGCTCTGAGAACCTCCAAAGATGACTGGCAATGCTCACTGTCCACATGGTGGTATGGCTCTTACTGGTTACCATTGACCCCATTATTTATTTATTTATATATATATATAATAAGTGTGTAAATGTTAGAAACCACCAGGTCTTTTGAAGGACTGGTAAGAATTTAAGTGGGAAGGAAAAAATTGGCATCTGGTTTGGTAAGTTCTTGGCTGTTTCCTTTCTACCTTCTTTTGTCCAGATGGCCAAACCTAATGGCTATGAAGAGAGTAAACTGAGTCAGGCTGAGTTTTTTGTTCAAAGAACTTCCTATGCCCTGGATCCTTTTCCTCTGATACTCCAAATGCCACAGTCCTTGTCACAGTCATCGTTTTCTCTAGGTCTCAGCAGAGCAAAGAAATGGCCTTTTTAAGTGCCCCGTAGCACAAATAGTTAGTACAAAACTGAAGAGGAAAAAAGCCCTGTGTCTGACTCTGCCTCTCCTGTGCCACTCATTGGGATCTATGTAGGACCTCAGTTTTGTCATAGGCTCCCCACCTAACCGCTGGCTATGTGTTGTGTCATTACAGTATTGACTTTCTAAATGTCACATAGATGGAATCACAGGTGTAACCTTTCAAATCTTGCTTCTTTCCTTCAGTGAAATGCCTCTGGGCTTCATCCTGGTTGCTGCACTTCCTATAGCATTTCCTACCTCTGCACTGGCTTAACCAATTTACTGTCTCACTCTCGAAGGATACACAGGTTGATTCCAGCTTCCGGCAATTATGCATTATGCTACTATGAACAGTTACATGCTAGGTTTCTGGGGACATGGTTTTCATTTCTCAGGTACATTCAGGATTGGAGGGCTGGGTCCTCTGGTAGTACATATGTAACTATAAGAAACTGTCCAGCTGTGTTCCTGTACCATTCTGCATGAGGACTAGCTTTTTATCTTTTATACTTGTAAATGGGGTTTCATTATTTTAAAATAATTAGAACTACATGTCTTAAGCTGTGAATGGTATAGCAAATACCATAAGCTGCTTGAATTCACTGTTTTATTAATAATAAGTCTTAACTTTCTATGTCACTAAATAATAACTCCTAGTTGAGGAACCAGATAAATTCATGCAGCTCCTTCCTTTCTCCAAGCTATCCCAACCTTTTTGCTGAAAGGGCTGGCTGGCTGGCTTCTTTGTGATCCCACTCATCCTGGAAGGACTGAGCAAAGTCACTATACCTCATTGTCTTTCTGCATCATGGTCCACAGGTCAAGAACATCAGTCCCACAGTCTTGGGCCACTTGTAAACACACACTGGCATATTCACCAACAACGGAGTTCAAGCGATTTATTTTCCAACCTATTGGAGAGAGGAAATCTAGGAGGTGACTGAACACAAGTGCTGGTCTTTGTGCAGGTTGTGAGGACCCCGGTGGTTTCTAAATTCCATCAATGATAGCCCCTCTCAGAGTCTGGTTATCACAATGATGGGTCTCACAGGCTACTCTCATGTAGTGCTCTACACAGCAGAGGACAAAGTTCAGTGGGAAAAGAGGGAGTTGTTACTGATAACCACAGCCTTCTGAGAAGCTGAAGAGGATATTCTACAAGACTTGAACAGAGGTGCAGAGGAAGGAAAGGCCCAGGGAGCTGGGGCTGCTGGGCTAGAGAGCAAGGCAGAGGTGACCTGGGCTTGGACCACACCAGAAAGAAAAGACCATGGAAGATGCAGTGCTGAGACCCAGGTAAGAAAAAGCCACTGCAATACAGTGGAAAAAGTTGTCCTCTGAGAACTGGACAGTCCTGACAATTGCCTATTAACTGCCCTATACGTAGCTGTGTGACTGAATAACTTGCTTAACCATGCTGAAGTTTTCCTGCTATGTTGATAATGCCCACCTGATCATAGGAACAGCAAGATCATTGAAAGGCTAGATTCTTGCAGAATATATGTGCTCTACCCCCGCCTTCTTGATATTGAAGATTGTGTGGCATTCACAAAGCCCCGGGTTTGATCACCAGCACCCAAAAATGTAAAAAAAGAAAAAGAAAAAAAAAAGGCTAGTAATGTAGCTCAGTGGTAGAGCATTCCTGGGTTCAAACCCCATTGAGCTTACTCCCCAGCCCCATCATGTTTTTATTTATTTTTGTGGGGACTGAACCCAGGGCCTTGTGCATGCGAGGCAAATACTCTACCAACTGAGCTATATCCCCAGCCCCACATCAGGTCCCTTTTTAAAACTTTGTTTACAAAGTTTTGAGACAGGATCCTACCAAGTTGACTAGACTGGCCTCAGCCTCCTGCATAAGTGGGAGGTGTGTGCTACTGCACATGGCTGCCTGTGCATATTTGACTATGTCATGCTGCTTCATCCTTTCCCCATCAGAGGAGAGTGGAGCTAGAGCTAAAGCCAGTGAGAAGCTCAGGAGGCTGCCACAGCAGAACTAGGGGTATGGGCAGGACAGTGAGAGCTGGTGGAGATGTGCGATTATAACAGGAGCAAATGGGCAAATGGAGGTGGAGATAAAGGAGTACTTATACCTATGCTGGCCTGGGTTCCTGTCTGAGAGAAGGAAAGAATAAACTCTTCCCAGGTATTGACAGATCACCTGTGTTTCACCTCTTTTAACTTGTTCTAGGATAACCTGTTCTCTGAGTTTAAGGCAGCTTAGAAAAATTCCACAATGCACCTTTTCAACCAAATATGTGTAAACATGAGAAAACAGCATCTTTACATAGAAGAAACATTTTTACACAAAAGAGATCTTATACCATTATACTTTTTCTTTCAAATGATGAAGAATAGAAAAAAAAAAGGGGGGGGGGGGATGAGTACTTTTGGCAGAGTGGAAAGGGCCATCTCTCATGGCCCCTAATGAGGAGATGGGCAAAGCTAGCAGCTTCAAGAACATCCTGATACCAAGAAGTCATGAAAAACACCACAAATGTTGAGTAGGTGCCCAGGATATATATCTAGCCCTTGGACCCAGCATCTCTCAAAGCACTGCAGCTAACCTGCCAGTTCCAAGGCATGCAGCCAGGCTCTCTGCACACTCTCAATGGGCTTCATGTATGATGGAGCTGGCAACTATAAAGTCCAGGCCAGTGGTTCCTTCCTGACTTACCCAAAGCCAGAAGCCCTTTTCTGTCAAAGTTATTGGTAAGACATAATGGAAGTTGACTGAAAACAGACTAATACAGGGCCCACAAGCAGGAAGTCTTTTGAGTGTTCATGTCCAGGTTTGATGCCACTAGGCATGGCTGGCTTACCTTGCATGATGCACTCCTTTTCCCAGGCTGTTTCACAAAGCGGAGGTGGCGTGATGAGTATGACTCGATGCTCAGGGACATCCACTGATTTCAGGTACTGCACCATGCTTTTTAAGTTTGCAACATACTCTTCCAGGGGAATATGCTGCTTGGGATTCTCATCTGTTTATAAAGGACAAATTTTTTGGCTCAAAGTGGCAATGATTAAAATGAAACCACTTTCATGGCATGCATACAATTCTTGAAGTCACTGGGGAACTGTTAAGGTTTCCTCCTTAAAGGATTAAAATGTAACCCGGGCGCAGTGGTGCATGCCTGTAATTGGAAGCTCAGGAGGCTGAGACAGGAGAATCGTGTGTTCAAGCCAGTCTTAGCAAAAGCAAGGTGCTAAGCAAGTCAGAGACCCTGGGGAAGGAACCCAGGACTTTGTGATGCTAGGCAAGCACTCTACACTAACCTACACCCCAGCTCCAACATAAGCTATGTCAAAATTTAATAAACTGCTTTTTCCTTTGCAATTTCCTCAGTTGCTTGTGTGCTTAGAAAGTATTTATCCTTATTCTACATATGATTAAAATTCACCATTAAAATTTCTTTTAAGATTTTGATTCAATATAAAATGCAAAGGGAATATTTACTTTATTTTCCTCAAATTTCTTACATCCTTTCTCACTAGTGAAATGCAAATTGCAGTGGTGTATCTTGAGCCCTGTTGCCAACTGTACCCACTAAAGAGAGAATTGGTGTGAATATACTATGTAATAACAACCTGAGACATGTGCTCTATATATGTAATAAGAATTGTAATGCTTTCCGCTTATATATAAATAAAAACACACACAAAAAGAGAAACACTGGAAATACAGCACAACACTAATGGACTCCAGAAACAAAGTGCTGCAGTTTAAGTCTGCCAACGATGGAGGGATGGGAATAAAAACCACCCACAGCAGAGCCAGAAGAAATCCCCGTAAACAAATTCAAGGAATGCATACGTTTGGTGAAACTTTCTCTTTTGGAATATAAGTAAACAGTTAAAAGTATATAAATCCAAGTTTGCTCTAATGTTAAAATGACTAAAAATTAACTAGGAAAACAAAAATGCCACTACCTTTTAGTGCACTGTCATTGGCGCCAAAGAAAATTGTAACTACTACTGGATTGTCCAAATTGTTCCCTTTCCTGATTAGTCTTGGAAGAATAATTTTGGCCCATCTGGTGTTGTAACCTGAAAATCCACGATTCAGAACATCACATCTTCTGAAATGAAAGATTGTTAAAAGATTTAACTGAGCAAAGAATTGCTTGGTAGCCCACTTTAGCAAGGGTGTGCTGGGCTTCTAATCCCAGCACGTGGCTTTGACCCAGCCCAGCTTTCACTTCAGTAAAATCAAGTACAGGGTTGAAACACGCTGATCTCTCTTAAGTCAGTTCTGGGACACATGTAAATCACCATACTCCTCAAAGAGGGAGGTGATAAATTATGTTGAAGGGGTTGATTTAGTCTGAAGACTTTCATGGTAGTATAGAGAATAACTTTAAAACTGTTCACAACAGATGGATATTAATGTGACCAAGTACAGTATCTTAGAAAATCACTAACAAACTGAAACTCAGTGATTTTGTTTGAGGTGTTTGAAATATTTTAGACTTTTGGTTTCAAATGATTTTATAATTAGTTTTTAACTAGTTCATTAACAGACATCTCTCCCCAACCCCTTCTTAAAAATAGTTTGACTCAAGCTAGGTATGGAGGCACATGCTTATGATCCCAAGAATTTGGGCATCTTAGGTGGGAGGATTGCAAGCTGGAAGCCAGCCTCAGCAGTTCAGCAAGAGCGGTCTCAAAATAAATAATAAAAAGGACTGAAAATAATTTGACTGATACAATGAAGAAAAAAAAACACACACCATACCACCCCACCACCACCCCCGCCCCCCCCCCCCCCCACACACACACAATACAACCATGGCTCTTGAAGCAGGTTGCGGGGGTTTACATGCCAGATCCATCCTTGGCTAGTGTGTCCCTGACATGAGGAATCCCACTTCAGGATCACACTACTTTAGAACACCTTAGCTGATATTAGTCACATGACAGGGGCTCTATCATAAAAGAAAGTAATTTTGGTAAATAATAATATCAGAATAATTCATAGTGGGAAGGATGGATGGGATAATTATATCCTTTGCTTCTGTAGATGATTAAAAGCTGTCCATAATAAAAAGGTCTTTAGAGGTATTGGTGCACACCAGGAATCCCAGCATACTGGAGGCAGGAGGATTGTGCCCCTGGGTTCAATTTTCAGTATTATTTATGTCAAATAGATAATAAAATTGTATTTTAAAATAAAATGAGCCGGGCACGGTTGCACACACCTGTAATTTTAGCAGCCTGGGAGGCTGAGACAGGAGAATCTCAAGTTCAAAGCCAGACTCCGCAACTGTGAGTGCTAAGCAACTTTGAGACCCTGTCTCTAAATAAAATACAAAATAGGGATGGGTATGTGGCTCAGTGGTCAAGTGCCCCCGAGTGCAATCCCTGGTACCAAATATATATATAAATAAAATGAATCTGCAGTTTCAACTTTATGATTAGAAAACTGGTGTTCATTTTGGTATATGGTTCAAATTCTTACATGTAAAACAATAAATGAAAAAATTGCAGTACCAGTAATTGAAGGCTGCAGTGCCAGGCGGCAGACTCCAAGGAAGGCAGCAGGAAGGGTCTCATTTTCATGGACCTACTCTGAAAGCTCTCAAGTAGCATTTGTACATCTTGGGAACAACAACAACAACAAAAAAAACCCAGCCATACTTATTTGTAAATGGGCCTGAATGTTTTTATTTGTAAAGATTCCAGGAAGCTAACAAGCCATTTAGAATCCAGCCACAACACTTTAAAATGGAAGTTCTCTAGAATTTTAACGAAGTGGGTATGTCTTACATTCATTCAATGATATAGTCACTGTAGCATTTCAAAAACAAAGGGCAGGGCTAGGGGTATAGCTTAGTGATAGAATGTATGCTTAGCATGCAAGAGCCCTGGGTTCAATTCCCAGCAACCTCTCCCCAGGACACATTCTTTTTAAGAAGGGCAAAACAGTTTCATAAGAGTCATAGCAGTACAACCACGAGGTCTGGAATCCTAGCAGCTGTGCCTGGATTTCCCCATCCTTGACTAACAAGGAGGCACTGGCCAGGGACTAATTCTCATCTGCCAGGCTGAGTGAAAATTAAATGTAAAGGCTAGACACACATAAGGAGCTCAATAATTGGCAGCTAGATTTAATAAATATATCAATATCATTATATATATATATATATATATATATCATTATATGATCGTTTGGGAGTCAAGACCAGGACAAAAGTACCAGTGAGGCCCAGGGTTGAAAGTGTTAAAAAGATTCCCTTCCAAAAGAGAAGCATATCCGAATTTCTCTGGGTTGAATAAAAAAGTCAGCAGTATCTTAAGTTATTCAAAAGGCTAAAAAACAGGAAAATCAAAAACTTGCATATAAAGTCATAGATAATAACAGGAACTTAAATCCATATGAAGATGAAAAAGGATAAGAATTAACTAGACTCCTTCAAAAACACGCAGGTCCTACAAACTGCATTCCATACTGTGCACACCTGCTGAAGCAGGAGGATCACAGGTAGAGATAGCTTGGGCAAGTTCAAGACCCTGCGTCAAAATTAAAAGGGCCCAGGGTGTCAAAATGCCCTGGGTTCAATCCTTAATGCTATGAAAGAGAAGAAAAATCTGCTTTCCAGAAAAATAAATTAGGTGCTTTATGAATGACAGTAGACAACCACACATCTTCAAAAGAAACAGCAGCTTTTAAAAACTGAAAAGGGTGAGTTTAACTCTTTCAACTCAGCTTTCTGGGTTTCAGAAAACTTGGATATTGTTTAAAAATTGATGAAAATGTACCAATAAATTTAAATTTTGTTAAAATGCTTTTTGCGATGAGTTTACAAGAGCCTGTTTAAAAACTCATGGACGTCACTATGGGCTGAGGACTGTACACTTAATTCTGTATTTTAAAATTCACTGGTGTCCATGGAGGCAGTACGGATGGATAGTTACAATAAGGCATTTCTTAATAAGATTAGGTTAAACTAAAACATCAGGAACAGTTCAGGGTTGTGCAGATGGCTGAAGCAAACATAGGAACCTACTACAAAAAGTCACCCCCAAGCATGCAGAGATAACCACTGAATGTGTCCCTCAGAACTCATTTGATATGAAACAGAAGCCTCTGCTGCTATAGTGTTACAGCAGACCCCAGCCACCTGTCAGTACCTCCTTTCCAGGTTCTTGTTTCATGAATTTGAAGAATGAAATTCAGATAAGAGTAGGATTTATTCAAGTGAAGAGTCAGAGCTCCTGTAGCACAAAAGGAACCAAAAGGGGTGCCTTTTTTTTTTTTTCTTTTTTGGTACTGGGGATTGAATCAGGTGTACTCTACCACCGAACCACATCCCCAGCCCTATTTTGTATTTTATTTACAGACAGGGTCTGACTTGCTTATCATCTCGCTTTTGCTGAGGCTGATTTTGAACTCGAAATCCTCCTGCCTCAGCCCCCTGAGCTGCTGAGATTACAAGCATGCACCACTACACCCGGCTAGGGTTGCAACTTTAATGTACTATCCTGGGGCTTATATAGTTGCTGGGTGGGGGAACTCAATATCTATGCTCTTCAGATCTTGGAACAGTTCTAATGCTATTAGTCAAAATCTATGCTGAATATGTACTGGAAAAATATCTAGGCTATTGGTTTGTCTGGAAACTACCTAATTGGCTGTGCCCTTTTAGCCCTTAGTTTGAATTTTCCTATCATCTCCATTAAGGCCCACCTCCACTTCCATTTTCCAGGGACTAGGTTTGGCTGGAATGTTTCTGATTATTCTCATGAAGAGGTACAGTTGAAAAGAGCCTTAATTGGGGTCCATTACCCTGACTACCTGACCATTTTACTATCTATCCTACCTTGAGGGTGCACTTGAATTTTTCTGGTCTCACAGCAGTGAATGGAGATGACTCCCATTTGAGGTAACACTTGCTCACCATAGAGCTTCCTAGTTCCTGATAGGTATCTACCTACTAGAAAAATATGGGTTCGGTATACCATTCCATTCAAAATGAATCCAACTTTGAGTTTTTAAAAAATGATTTTTTTTCTGTCCACCTCCACTAATTTAAATCATACCCATCATAACTGAAAAAACGACTAGATTTTTTTTATACGGCAAACAGTCAAAATTTTTGTTTCCACAGTTTTTGTGTTTGATTTCACATGGTGCCAAAGCTTTTTGATGAATCCTGCGTGGCTGCCCTTTCTGTTTCTCTAACCATACATTGACTAAGAAAGGAAAGCAGAGATTAATAAAGAATTCGTGGTATGATTCACTTTGAGATGACATTTACCATCAGTAAATACCCAGTATTAATCTAGAAACTATTCTCACCTGACCAGTTTGTCAGCCAATGATGCTCCCCATCCACCCTGCTGAAAAGAAAACTGAAGAAAGAGAAGCCCATTACTAATCGGTATACTCAGAACTTAGCATGGGAACTTGGGTCAGCAGCTCCTCTAGTTGTGTACTCCCTAGATTCCTGCCCTTCCTCACTCGGGGAGGATGTCTTGGGGCCAACTGTAGCTTCACCTGGCAGAACTCTAGGAAAGTGGATTTAAGCCAGCCACCTATTAGAGACCTAATACTGGAGAAATTTGTCACCTAAAAAGGTACTACTCAGGTGTGGTGAGCCACGCCTGTAATCTCAGAGACTCCAGAGGCCGAGAAGGAGTTTTCAAGGCAGCCTCCACAACTTGGTACAACCCTGTGTCGGAATAAAAAAGGCTAGTGGTGACCGATGCAGTGCAGGTACTAGGAGGTGCAATCACCTGTGCGTGCAGCTAAGACACGGGTCCACGCTGTGCCAGGGGAACCAGCCACTGCTTTCTTAATGACGTAACTCGGGTGGACACTCCCATGACACACATTCACAAGGTCCTTGAGAGGTTCTTACTGCCCTGATCCTAACATTGGTGGTGCATATACACAAAAGCCTGATTTAGAAGTCTGCACGTTGGGGGCGGGGTACAGGAACGTAACCTACTATCTTTCCGAAATAATGTATTTAGAATAATTCTCCTTGCCCCCGGGCGCGGTGGCGCACCCCTCATCCCAGCGACTCCGGAAGCTGTGGCAGGAGGATCGCAAATTTGAGGCCAGCCTTGGCAGCTAAGCAAGACCCTGTCTAAAAATTCAAGCCCCGTTATAAGAAAACGTTCTTCCCCTGGATGGGAGTTGAAATGGCCCCGGGTGAAAAGCTCTTCCTGCTTTACTCTTGAGGGCATTTTCAAGGTCCACCCACCAACTACCGCCCGCCGGTCCCCCCGAGGCAGCCCGCACGGGCGGCCCGGCCTAGACCCTCCCGAGCCGAGGCAGGGCCTCAGGAGCCGCCGCTCGAGCGACCCGTGGAGCGTCCGGGGCGATCGGGGCGGCGGTACCTGAGTGATGGAGTCCCCGAAAAGCAACACTCGAGGCCAAGGCAGAGAGCTCCCGCCAGACATCCCCGCACAGGCCGCCATACTACTGCGCGCTGAACGCCGAGTCCAGGCCGGATATGCCGCGGGATGCTCGGAGGCTGGCGCTCGCGGGCGAGGCGCTCATGGGGGCGTGGCCTTCGGGAGGCGGGCCCTCGT